TGTGTATGGTTTGTGCATGTAGGGGTGGTGATGCTCAGTCAGGACGATGAAGGTCGTGTTTGTGTATGGTGTGTGATCATGTAATCTCATTATTGTAACATATTAATTATACCCTAATTATGAAAATTGTGTGATGAGTAGTGATGATTGATCTCAAAAGAACGTTTCAGGAAGTTGGTCACTCTTGTATATTATCTCCTGTATTCATTACCAAAATCTAATAGTTGCTTTCACCAGCCAGGCATCTAGAGGGTTATTAACCTTGCGAAGGCTCTCTGGTGTAATGTTCTACCTCTGAATATTCTGTCCATGTAAGGAACAAATTTTAAGAAGCTTTTGCATCATGTAGGTAATCATTTGGATTATCAATGTAATGCTAGAATTAAATGCAGTTAGTTAAAGGGGATTCTTGATCACTTCATCTTTGATCTTGACCCTCTGTCTGCATTGCTTCAGACCTGTTAAGTGTATTTCCAAAATGTCAACAATTTTGTCCAACAAAGTCTTATGTGGCCTTATGATTGAAAATTAATTTTGTGTGCCTTTCTTGGCATTATTCAAATGCTGCCAGAACATACAATTTATGTCAGACTTTCCTAAATGTGTCTTTGTATGCAAACAAAAACAGTATTCTATTTTACTATAAACTTGTATAGAAGTTTAAAGATAATTTATCTTCTAGTGTATGTGTAACATTCACTGCTCTATCTCAAATTCTTTCTTCACAGTTACAAATATGATGCCAGCTGGTAATGTGTTGGTTGTCATTGGCTTGGGAAGGTAACATGATTTGAAATGGGCTCCTCTAATTTGCATAAAACTACTTAGCTTGAATAACTTTACTCTGTAATCATATAAAAGTTACTCAAGTATGAAGAAGAATAAATCAAAAAAGTATTGGGATATTTTTTATCATAGATTATCAAATGCAACCAGTGTGATAAAATTCTGCTTCACCAAGGGCTTTGATGTTAGGAGTAAATGGATCCTTCCTCATTTGCTTTTGATATCCTTGCACTGGCAAAAAAATGATTGGTTTAATATTCTAAAGAATATTTTTATAGGTACTTCAACCTGCTGTCCTTTATTTAGAAATGTTTAATGTTTCCAGTAACAATAACACTAAACTAGATCAGCCATTCTGCTAAGTAGTAATACATTATTCACTGTGGAAGTCTTGCATCAGAATTTAAAGTTAAAAAGATGAAAAAGGGCAGCTGTAATAGTTAGGGCATTTATCAAACATTAGTTAAGATGTCATTATGGGTATGGGCTAAGTGATTGTAACTAGAGTACCTTGAGCTTAACAGGAAACTTTATTTTGAACCACAGATTGTCACAAATTAGTTTATAATACAAGATAAAGGACCACTGCTTGAAGATGGAGGGAAAGAATGGGCAATTGATTCCCAATAGAAGACTTACCATAGGTGATAGTAGACTTGTAGATTTTAACACTGATAGCAGTCAGGTTAAAAGAAAATTTATTTGCAAGTTACTGTACTTTGTATCTGATCAATGCCTTTGAAAAGACCTTTATTATAACTCATTTTATAGATCAAATTATACTCTAATCATAAATGAAGCCTCTGAGGTATAATGTTTTGTGCCATTAATAAGGAAGCAAGCCATATGAAGTCATTTGTGCTTCAGATTTATATCTCTCATGTGTTAGACTAGTGGAGAACAAGCCTCTTATAAGGAATAACCTAAATGATGGTCTGCAGCATGAGAGCAGTCCTTGAGGTACAAAATGTGGGGAATAAGCTCTTAATGAGTTGATGCTTTGCTTCAGAAAGGCTAAATTTGTGATACTTAACTATAGCATTTGTCAGCATTAACTTATTTAATTTAGATACCACTGCCACAAACATCTGTGCATTTACACAAGAATCTTATGCTTATTTTTTGTAACATATGTGTATAACTGTATAAATGCTGTGAAAGAATGTGTAAGGATAAAAGGTTTTGTAGCGCTGAACCTTGGTAATTCAACATTGTAAAAATGTTTATATGTTTTATATTGTGCCAAAATGCATTTTCTCTAACATGTTGTTTAATTATCCCAGTATATCAAATGTGTGTCAGAGGTTTGTATATTAAATGTATACCTGCAAGAAAAAATATTGAAGTATAAGAAAAGTGTGAAGAATCTAGTTGAGTGAAAAGAAATTTCTTGGACCATAAAGCTGCAATTAAAATGAGTGAATTAGGACCCCCCCCCCCATCCCTTGCGCTATGGGATGGGGGAGGGAGACAGGGGTATTGGGGTATGCTTGTATGGGGGCTTAGGAGACAGAGATTGAGGCCCAAGGTAGGGGATCACTTTTACCTTGGGCCTCAGCCCTCACCTCAACTAATTTTTCATTGTCTTTTCTTCTTCCCCTTTCCTTTTCCTTCTCTTCTGTCCACATCCTACTGTGTGAGAGCTGTACTTGAAAGGATGAAAGGCTGCATTTGTGTCAGTCCTGAACTGCCTTTGTACTGTTAGCTCTTCCTTCTTTACCCTTTAAAATATCATACTAACCTACTGTGCTCAACATCTTTTGACATCTAACATGTTTTGTCCTATTCATTAACTAATTTTTAATCTTTTTGCCATAATACAGTGCTGTATGACCTTTGATGTTTGGCACATTTTGTTTTAACCATTCTGTGAATCCATAAACACGGCTTTATAAACCAAAAAACTTTCATACATGGGGGCTTTGTCCCCGAGCCTCACCTTGCTGCTATATTTGAAATATGAAGCTAAATGACTTTAGAGACTGATACTACAGAAAATTTTCAATAAATGAATAGTGGATTTGAGCTTTGAGCCAATTTAATGACATTTTTAATGTAATGAGATTTATTTGCCATTATGTAGTATTATACAAAGGCAAAAGGAATATTGCATTTAGGAGGAAGATTGATATTTGGAAAATTGTATGGCATGTCAGTTTGGCTGGTAGCTTACTCCTTTCCTATCTGTTCTTATATGAGCCCACAGTATAATTTGTGTTAAGCCAAGCTAGGGCAATGAATCTGAGTGGTACGTAAACAGTGATTAAGTCACTGTCAGATGGCACCATTACTATTGTGAAGTTTTATGGCAATGTTGAATCTGGTTTCCAAGCAAATAGCCTTCCAAATCTGGAAAAACTGGGTTAACAAAGTAATGTCTAAAGCATTAAATATTGCTTTCATTATATCAGACAGACTTGCAAGACAGGATGTATCATCCTACAGACTGCAAAAAGTAGTGCAGTCTGAAAGGAAGCGATTGCCTCTTTAAGCCTGCACTTTCCTAAACAGAAATCCAATAAAAAAGTATTTGATTCTTTCTGGTAGAGGGAATGCAAAAAGAAAGAAGAGTGGCGGTCTATCACACACACACAAAAGTAAGTCCCTTTGTCCATATTAGTATCTCAAAGTCTATTAATTGCCCAAGTGGAACAAAAAAACAAAAACAATGTAAGTGAAAAATTCAATCAATTTTATTAACAAATTAACTAGAACCTTAACAAAATAGTAGTCTTTGGATTACTGCTCAGACATTTTACGGTTTCAAATAGTTGGATTTGTCAGCTGGTTTCTCATAAACAGAAGCAACTGCCCAAGACCATTTTTACTAGCTGAGCCACCAAGATATGTCAATTCCAGACTGATAAGTCCTCCTGCTTGCTTCAAATGGATGTTAAACCTAAGAATGCACTCCAGTCCACCTGCCTGATGCACATGTGGTTCTTTTTGCTTGTGTAGTTTTTCACTAATCTGCTTCAGGAACTCTGAATTAGAAGATATTTCTTTATCTGGGCTGTTTCCAATACCCGAGTCATTTGGCGATAGCATATGATATGGTATGGGTTTCTCTTCTGATCCATTTGTTGACTTATTTAATTGTTCTGAGAAAACTTTTTGTTTCTTCCTTTCATGAGTACTCTCTTCCTGGCTTTCTTCACACTCATCTTTACTCCGTTTGTGTGTTTGTTGCCTTTCTGTTGCTTGTTCAACTGAAAGTTCTTCATTCTGATTCATTGCTGGAAAAAAGTCTAAGATGAGTAAAATCTACAAATGGGCAAAATCCAAAAAAAGTGGCACTGGATTTCCAATGCTAAATAATACTGACTGTCAGAAATATAGCTTGATTAAATAATTAAAATGAAGCTTAACCAAAAGCTATGTATTGTCATATTGGTTTTATCAAACTATTCCCACTGATATATTGATGGTAAAATATATTCAATGTGAATATACGAAAATTAAACCATTTCAATATATTTCCAGGGAATATTGCTACATCATTTACTTTGGAAAGAGAAACTAGAACAATATTTTCAAGAGGTTTTACCTATTCATTAAATAAGAAAAATGAGCCTATCTGCCAAAAATACTAGTAGCAACATATATTAAATATTGAGACTGTAGTGAACCATTAAAATTTGGGTCTTTTTTAGAGGATAATACATAAAAATAAAGAATTAGCAAAAAGAAAAAACTCACTGTCATCTTCTATGAGGTCTTGATGCTGCTCATTCCTTTCTTCTGTACACAAGGTCTCTCCCTCACCAGATATTTCCACGTCATCGGACTCTTCAGTCTTGTGTGTCTTTTCTGAAAGTATATGTATAGGTCTATGTATGGATATATATAAATAAAAAATATATACATAGGTAGACAGATTTATGTAGAAAGATATACAGACACAGATAGATCAGGATATTAGCGAAAGTCCACATCCACATTTGTCAGCACATCTGAATATTTGTTAATCACACACACACACAAAAAGTACAGATCCTAGAAATATATGTATCCTAGATTAACTGCCAATTGCCTTGTAAAGATTACATTTGCTAGTCATATTCTCTGTCTGTCTCTCTCTCTCTCTCTGTAAAATTCTTGAGATTTAAAGTAATATTTCTGCTTATGAGTTACTTGATCAAAAAGAGACTGACACCAAGGCAAACATGAAAAGTTTACACAAATGCATATTCATGTATCTGAAAGAAAGAAAGATCAAGCTGCTTACCTTTATTTCTGCGATCGAGCTCTCGTTTCTTCCTTCTCTGATGTAACCAAGTTGGTTTATATGCTTTAACATGAGCACCTACAAAATACTTTGTATTCTTGAAGACACGCACCTTAACCTGAGGGGGTTCATATATGCAGCTGAGACAAAAAGCAAAATGTAATAATCCCTCATTAGTAACATACTGAATATGTATGATTCAGCATCTCATAAACTGAGGGAGTTCATATATGAAACAGAGAAGAAAAGATTAATACAATAATTACTCTTGGTGAGTAACATAATAAATCAGTAGCATATATGATTCTGCTTCTCATACAAACATTAACTTTTACCTTTAGATAATGCAACCATTTTGCAACCATTCGCCATGCTGCTGGAACAGAGTACGCTGTCAATAAGCTGCGAGGCATTATCATTACCATTGGCTTGGTATTTGCCATTTGTTTCTTACTCATTACTTGATTCAGTTGCAACTTTGGGTCGAAAGTCCATGCAAGTCCCCATCTGCAGTTTGGATATTTGAAAAACTTTGAGTATAAAAATTAATTATAAAATATATAGCCAAAATATTTTTGAATCTCACTAACATTGTATGCATTTTTCTCTCTTCTAATATACATACCTCATGGTTCTTCCTTGGCAGAACTCTGTAACTGATGAATGTGCAGGACTAACAGTGGCTAAAACTTGTTTTATTTTTTTAATGTCTGCTTTGGTTCCAATTAGTGTTGTGAACATCCTGGAAATAGAAAATACAAAATTTATGATAAGAGGAGGAGGAGGAGGAGGAGCAATCAAACAGGTAAACATATGATGACACAGTTAGAGTTCAATAACTTGCTGTAGATGGATGGCACTTGTCTAAAAGGATTCAGCCACAATAATAATAATATAAGTATGTTCATATGTGTTATATAAAGCAAGAATACCAATAGTCTGTTCAATCTGGAAATATAGGAGCCCCCACCCTCTCCCAGGACTGATAATTGATAGTGATATCTGACTCTGATTATTAATAGTTCCTCATCTTTAGTTTATAGTTTTCATGAATTTGTATTTATATTTCTCATCTATCATTGATTGCATACATATAGGAATAAGTGATTGTAAAGCTTAAAGTATTGTTTGATTAGATTATTTCTTTTGTAGCAAGGTTGTCTGGCTAGCTAACAGGGTTGTCTCCTTTGAAAATCAATAATAAAATTTGACTAATAATTTGGTAATAACATTTCTCTCTTTTAAAAGGAGAGCTTAAATTATGGTCAGATTTTCTATTTCTGTGGAAAAAAATGATAGCAGTGATCTTACTACCACAGAAACTGCAATGAAACTGAAAAAGAGGGAGGCAAAATGTTGAAAAATTATTCAAACAATAGAATCAAAGAAAAACAAAAAGGCTAGATACATGTTACAAACAGTTTACTTACCTTACTTTATCTTTCAACTGAGAACTTTCCTCAATCATTTGTGTAATAAATGATATTTCTCCTCCAGAAGTAACTATCTCTTGCACAGCACCTGTTCAAAAGATAACTTATGCACATAAAATTATATGCAAAATAATATAAATTTGAACTTTAAATCTGTATGGAACTTATTACAACTATATTTTTTATTCCTCAAGCATAGTATAACCATCTGAATCTTAGAATATTCTCCAAAGAAAATTATATCAACTAAAACATTTAGTTCAAATATAATCTTCATTTCAATAATTCTTTGGCTGGGAATGGGAACCTAATAATTTACTTTTATACTAATTCTTGAACTCTCTTTTGTCTCCTTTCTCCAACTGCAAGGGATCAACTCAAGATGTATTCTGATTCTCCATTCAATTTTTTTTTTTTTACTTGTGACACTTAGTAAGGCAAGTCACTACACAATTTGGAAGAGAAAAAGAGTTACAGGCAGCCTACTCCTCAGTAAACATAGTTCCATCAATAAACCTGTAGCTTTGCGGGTTCTCAATTTCTAGAGGAAACTCTAGGAGTGTTCTTGAGTTAAAAAAAACGGCACTCTTACTTGGTGACTCATAGGATTCATGTGGCATAGATTATAAAAATAATGTACATACACACGCAACAAAATTAAAGGAAGGCCCCACTGTAATGTATTACATGTCATTCATGTTCAGTTACTGGCTGGAGCTTGGCTACAGATGGAGAGTATCATGCTCTTCAGGTTACAAATCGCTGAGTAGAAAATTAGAAGAAAAGGAAAGAAAAATGAAGGTAGATAGAAAAGAAAAGAAAAGAAAAGCAAAAAGAAAAAAGTCTCCTGATCCACTATAAAAACTGTACAAAATGCTACTCTTTAAAATCTGGCATTCTACAGCAATTAAAACCAAAAGTAGAAAACTAAAATTACAGAAATCACAATGGAAAGCAAGGAATTGACCCACGAAGAGTAAATTCATTAGTACTTCAAGTACCTGTTGGAACACTAACAGGTTCTCCTCTGCCTTTCTTGCTCTTGTTCATGGT